ACTGCTGTAGGTGACCCTGCTTTGGCAGGGGGATTGGACTGGGTGATCTCCAGAGGGCCCTGCCAACCCCAACCGGTCTGGGATTATGTGATTCTGTGTTACCAGTATTTGTCTCGTTCTTTTTATGGAGTCGCAGGAGATGCTTCTGAGTAGAAAAAGTGACATTTCTTTCTGTGACCTGTTTTCTAGTTGGAGAGGAAGGGGACAGGTATGGGAAAGAAAGCTCTGATGCTTTCCCAAATCATGCCTGCTAGAATCTGTATTTTAAGATGACAGATCATGCAGATTGTCTTTGCGCAATTGCTTCTCTTAATTCCTGCGTAATCTATAAAGCCATAAATTGATTGTGAGCAGCATAACAGCTGATAGAAACACCTTATACGAGGGATGATAAGGTTACCAGCAGTGGAGCTAACATCCCAGCACGCTGCAGTCTTGAGCTCTAAGGCCATGGAGTTTGTCACCCTGTTTTAAGTATTTCCTACTCCCTTCAGAGGCCTTATTGTACAACAGCATCCAACTCCAGGATGGATGCTCCTGGTGCCAGTTAGGAGGAAGCTTTGGAGTTCCCCTGCTCTCCAGCAGTTGGACTGGTACTCCCTCCACTCATAGCAAAATACTCGACCTTTATGGCTCTTCTTTTCCCCCTTCCTTCCCTCCTGTGGAGTTTTTTTTTTATCTTAGGTCAGTTTGTGACCTGGTTTGCAGTGCAGCCACACACGTAGTTGTCTTGGCCTGCGTAGGAGGCTGCATAAGGAAATGGGCTAGGAGGAATGGGTGGCAGAAGTGGCTTTTTAAGCTTTTATTTCTGCTAGAGCTTCCGTCTTGCCTTAATTGCTATTTTAGACTATTGTGTCATGGTACACTAAGTCAAGTTCTTAGTATCAGATCAAGGGTGCCACAGCAGCAAGACATAAATTGCTCTTCTGGTATTAATTACTGCTGCAGTTCCAACATGTTCAGAAAATGCCAGTGGATTAATTTTTACAAGCAGGCTTCAGACTAGATCTGTGTCTGTTTTCTGACAGCCAGCATGAAAGCATAACACTAGCACAAAGTTTCTCGTGTATATTCTGGCTAAGTCAACAGAAATAAACCTGTTCTGTGTTTGTACCTGGCCAGGATTAGTGATTGTGAAATCATAGCATCAGCCTGGCTGTAAGTTTGGACAGATAATGATAATTCAAATCTCCCCATTTGCTAGGGCCAGAGACTTTTGGTGACAGCTCAATTCTGCGACACAAGACAACCTCCAGAAAGCTTAACAGGTGGGCCACAGCATTGTGAACTAGCCCAATTCAACTAATGACGATATGCTTTTCAGTAAGAAGTGTGATTACAAATCAATACCTGACCCAATTTAAGGAGGAAACCATTATAATGGGATTTTGTGACCAGAGGAATTAATGACACTTGCTTTCTTGTAGCTTTGTGTATTGTAGCTGGATTACCCTGCGTCTGGTAAGGAGGCACTTTTCCTCGTCCCCCATGGCTGAGAAACTCACAATATCACATTCTGTTATGAGATAGCCATCTGATAATACTGCTGTACTCGCATTTTTTTTTCCTCAGTTTGGGCATTATTTGGATTCACACTGCAATTACTGTGATTTATATTCCATGCTAATTTGCATGGAAATTGTGGGAACTTAATGCCTGTGAGATCGGTGTCCTCCTGTGTGACTTCATGGAAACTGAACAGTAAGTGTGAAAGTTATTAAAACCCAAGAATGGGCCGAGTTGACTGATTGCATAAACCTTATTTCTTTCAGAAGCATCACCTAAAAAAAGTACCATCTTGTATACATACAAGAAATACAGTCATGCAGACTTGAAATACAGGGGGGGAAATTACTTTTAAAATATGACTTAGTCTTGAAAAGTTAATTTAACTTTTTTGATACAGAAGTCCAGATACTTCTTCTCTTTCAGCAAAACATAATAAAGATAATAAAGACCCCTCCTTTGCCTCTTCACAGAGAGAAGACTGATGAGAATTAAAGGCTTGTCTCAGGAGCTGACCTCCAAGGATATGCTGCGCACTCTCTCCCAGGCTAAGAAGGAGTGCTGGGACAGGTTCCTGCAGGAGAAGTTTGAGTCTGAATTTTATGTAGAGGGACATGACTCTGATGAGAGGTAATAAGCAAGTCGATGAGAAGGGATTACCACTTACTGTGTTGGCAAACGGGCTTTATTTTTTAAATTAAGGTTTTGTCAGGACTTGTGATAGGGCATTATGACAAAAATAACAGCTCATTGCAACTTGGTAAGCTTGTCACAGGCTTTCTGAAACAGTTTGGTACTGACCATTTGCATCACACTAGAGGGGAACACACAGGGGACGCAGGGTTTGAACTTTCAGTGCTGTTCACTGATTTTTGCATTCCTCAAACTGGAGCGATCCAGCGTGGAAACAACTGGAACCTACTTGATAATTCTCCTTGTCACATTTGGGGTGGGGAAGGAATG